CGCACACACGCGCGTGAGCGCGCGCGCAAACGCACGCACACACACACACGCGCGCGCGCGCACACACACACACACACACACACACACACACACACACACACACACACACACACACACACACGCACACACGCACGCGCACGCGCAAACGCACACACACACACAGTCTTTCCCACCTTCATTTGAGAGGTTGTTGCATTCGGTGAGATCAATGCGTGTCAAGTGCTGCGCGGCGCCGCTGGAAAAAAAGTCCATGACGGCTTGCGGTGACACATCAAACGCCTTCTTCATGCACAGCCACTCCAAATTGCGCAACTGCTGCAGGGACTTGAATGCGTTGTCCGTCATTTCATCACAGAACCGGATGCAAAGATAGCGCACGTGCGGGCAGTTGTTGGCCAGGGCCGCCACCAGCGCGTCGCCCTGACCCTGCCCATCCTGTCCAACAAGCAAAAGAGGGGGGTGGGCGGTGTTTGGTTATTGTGTGGCATGTGGGGGGAACGTGGAGGATTGTGTTTGTGGTGAAGTTATGTGTCAAGCATCATATAAAAGCTACGGTGCACGTGCACACGCACATACACACACGCACATACACACACATTCCTTGTTTTGCAACATCGCATGCTCTGACCAGGGAGACGAATGTGAGGTTTGGGCAGCCGGATGCGAAGGCAATGGCCGTGGCCTCATCCACCATGTTCTCGTCCAAGTCAAGATACCGCAGCTGCGTCGCCGCAGCCGCAAACTCAGCAAGACGCTGAAGAAGAGGCGTATGTGTGTATGTGTGTGAGTGTGTGTGTGCAAGGTTGACGGCAGTGCGGCACGTTCAATGAACAAGCTCCACCACAGAACACACGCACACGCACGCACACGCACACATACATACACACACACATACACACACACGCGAACTCACCACGGATTCAAAGCGCATGTAGCTGAAGTCTGCCATCTGCAGCGACGCGAAGAGATGCGCGACGTCGGATGACGAGAACTCACCGGCTACAGACGTGCTCTCCAAGCTGTGTGTGTGGGTGTGTGTGTGTGTGTGTGTGTGTGTGTGTGTGTGTGTGTGTGTGTGTGTGTGTGTGTGTGTGTGTGTGTGTTTGTGAGCGTAAGTGTGTGTGTGTGAAGCACAGTAACACAAGCGTGCATCCCCAATCACAAACCATAGCCACAAAACATACCCACAACCCACGCCCAGAGACGCAGACACAACCCGTACAAGGTGCGTGGTCTCACCCAAGAACCCTCGCTCACGCCCTCTCAACCTCCCAAATACTCACAGGAAGGCGGCTGCTCACGCACAAAGCGCTCTAAGGTGTACAGGTACGTTTCAATGTCCTCTGGCAGCTCTGACGTGAATCGAATGTGTTCAATGAACGGCATGCGCTGCAATAAGCGTCCAAACCCTTCCGGCGAGATGACAATGTCAAACTCGTCCTGGATCTGCGTGTGTGTGTGCGTGTGTGTGTGGGTGTGGGATGTTGGGTGGTGCTCAGCCTTGCGCGCCAAGTCGCAACGTGCACCACATCACATCACGTGCACGTCACAGCGCCACCGTCACCGCTCAAGATCACAGCACACACATCACATCACGCACGCATATCACATCGCACATCACACGCGCACACCTGAACAAAGTCGAGGGCAAGTCGCTTGCGGACGAGACTGCGCAGCGGGCGGGTGCGTGCTGCATGGTAAAAGGCCCGGCACACTTTCGCATACACGCTGTCGATCACATACACGTTCCCAGCCAGCCACAGGATCGACGAAAGCAACTCACCAGGCAGGTCCGTCACGCACACCTCTGCTGGTGGCTGCTGCTGCTGCGACGGCTGCTGCGACGGCTGCTGCTCATCCATCATATCCGAGTGTCATCAAACTACACTTTGTGATGTCGTAATCATCGCAACAATAAATAAAAAAAGAATTTTCTTCCTTCCTTCTGGTGGCGACGATCCAACATCAGCGCGTCCAAGGTGCGAGGTGGTGGTGCTGTGTTGGATGTGGTGTCGCTTGAGATGGTGCTGGTTGAATGATGCGGATGGTTCTGCTGTGCTACAGGAACCACGACGTCGTGGGATTGCTGGGGTAGTGTTAGCTGGGTGTTCATGTCGTTTTGGTTCAGCTGTTGCGTCTTGTGCTTGTGTCCCAAGCCTCACCAAGCACCATGCTGATGCATTTGTTTCGTCATAACATACTGTGCAGACGACATCGACGGTTTTGTGTAACATCATCATCATCACACAGCAACAGCGACAATGACTGCGGCTCAGTCCTTCTTCCTCCAGCCCGCCACCATCCTACGGATGTTGGAGATTGTGAGTCCTTCACTGAGAGAGAGAAGAGGGGGAGACGGGTGACTTGAGCGTTTGAATGCGATGGTGACTTCTTGTGTCCGTTTTGCTCGGTTGCGTGGACAGCTACCACACGCTGGCTGGAGAGAGGGAGAGAGAGAGAGAGGCAACCATCTGTCCACCCTGCCTCTGCAATGCAACAACAAAAGCACACAAAAACACACAAGCACACTTGCTTTGCGCCCACATGCACGCACGCATGTATTCATTCATTCGCTCACTCCTGCATCCACACACACACACACACACAATCATACACACAATCATACAATCGCACACACTCACAACACCGCACTCGTGCAGTTGTGCGCCATCATTGTGTTTGGTGTTATTGCTGACAATGGCAAGGTTGGCGGCAGCAGTATCTTCAACAGCAACGAGGATGCCAACGGGCTCGGTATCGCCATTGGTGTCATGGCCTTCATCGCCGCGTCCCTCATCCTGGCTGTCGGCTTCATCTCGGTCACCTCCAGCCTCTTTGCACAGAACCAGCGCGTCGTCAGCATTGCCGTCTTCGGTCTCGACGCGTTCTTGTGAGTGAGCGCAAACACACAGAAGATGGAGAGAAGGGGGATGGAGTGACGTAAGGAGGCTTTGTGTGTGCCTGTGTCTGTGTGTACGGTGTATTTGTGTCGGATGTGTGGTGGATGGACTGGGTTTTCCACCGTGCTTGTGTAGTTTCGTGGCACGCATGCTGTTCTGCTGCCAGGTTCTTCTGCTCATCACACACACACACGCACACATTCACACTCACACATACACACACATATGCACATCTCATTCTCATTCGCACTCACACATACACACGTCCACATTCACACGCACACATACACACACATTCACACTCACACATACACACACATACATCGACACACACACCCCTCCCATTCACACGTTTCCTTGCTGCAGCTCGCTGATGTGGTTCATCACGATGATTGTGCTGGCTGCGGAGTGGGGCAAGGTGAACAAGAGCGGTTCCAACAAATACGTCAACGCGGGCAACTCCGCTGTCGCATTCAGCGTCTTCAGCTGGTTCCTCTGGGTACGTTGCACGAGGGCGATGGTGGTGGCGGTGGTGTCGTTGTTGGTGGTTCTCCTTGTTCTTGTTGTAGTTGGTGGGGATGGTCTTGCTCTTGCTCTTGCTCTTGCTCTTGCTCTTGTTCTTGGTCTTGTTCCTGTTGCTACTCTTTGTTGCTGTTCTTGTTCTTGTTTGGCGAACTTTGTCGACACATGTCAACTACCTCACACACACACACACACACACACACACACAATCCCAATCACACACAACCACGCACGCACACACACACACACACAATCACACACAACCACATCATGCTCACATCTCCTCTCCTCCCCCCAACGCTCTCTTATCCATGCGACAGATGGGCTCTGCGTTCTTTTCGTTCCGCAAGATGTCTGAGCCCGAGGTTGAGACGTACGACTACATGGGCCAGGCCGACCCCTCCCCCTCGGTCCAATACGAGCAGTTCCCGGACCAGGGCGATGTCCCGGCCCCATACGAGGGCGCAGCAGACGTGCCCCCCTTCTAACTTCTTACCCCCTCCCGGCTTTGTTTGTGTCGTGGAATTGGGTGTGTTGTCACGGGTGTGTTGCGTTTCTGTGTTGTCGTGGCGTTGTTGAATATCGTTTGCGTGCTGTGCCTCGTGTTTCGTTTGATTGCTGTCCTGCCGTGTTGGTCGCTGCCGCTGCTGCTGCCCGGTGTCAGCAGTGCCCCTGCCCTCCCCCTTGCTGCGAGCGGATGTTTCAGTTGCGCTCCGAAAGGGAGGCCCAATGGCATGTCACATCACGTCCCTTTGCCATTGTGTCCTCTTGGTCTTGGTTGTCCACTTTGTCATCGTAATCGATCCCCCAGTTGCTCGTCATCGTTCTTGTTGCACTGTTGTTGTCTGTTGTCTGTTGTTGTTTGTTGCTTTCTGTTGCGTGCACCTTCGTGCCTTGCGTGTGTTGTACTTTTTTCCCCTCAGCAATGCTAGCCATTCATACGTGTGCGTGTTTTTTTTTGTTTGTGTGCATAGCTGTTGATGCTCGCGTGGTCTTTTTTGTGCTTGGACGATGCATTAGATATTCGTGGCTGCTTCCTTTGCTTGCCGTTGGCAAGCATTGAAACGGGAGAATGGTGATGGGCGCGGGGGACAGCGCGGGAGCACACACACACACACACACACACACACACACACACACACACACACACACACACACACGCACGCACGCACGCACGCACGCAAACACACACACACACACACACACACACACACACACACACACACACACACACACACACACACACACACACACACACACAACTTCTCCGCAAGAAACATCATGGGCATCATTCTCAATATTCTGCGTTTTCGCACAGTCATGTCACACAAGAAACGCTGCGAATCAGTGTGCTCTGTCCACCATTTTCCTTGCACATGATCTGAACCACAACCCTACAACCACTCAACCAGAGAAGAGACGAGTCCTCGAGTCGACGAGTAGACGACACCCACACAGCTCAAGCAAGCTCCTCAAGTCCCACTCTCAACGCCACCCTTGCCTACACCCAAGAGCACTCGAGCAAGAAGGTCTGGACCATCAACAACCCTAGTACCCAACCACAGAGAGACAACTCACCCAGCACAGACAACCCTGCACTTCTATCCACCATGTCCGATCCAAAGCCAACTGCAAGCGCACCAACAATGGCAGGCGCCGCCATGTGCATGGCCGGGGTGTCGGTCGAAGGGATCAAGCGGCTCATGGCACTGCTGAAGGATTATTATCCCAACAACTATGAGGAGCTCACCACACGTCAGGCGTGCAACAAGCTTGTGCTCCACCTCACAAAGGAATGGAAGTGCTCCTACGTCGACCGGCTGCGCAAAAAAAAACCTGAGGAGGTGGGACCAGCCACGGTGTTCGTGTCGCACGCGTGGCAGTACAAGATTTTTGACGTCCTCACCGCCATGCTGGAGTACGCCGAGGAGGCGAAGGAGAAGCACACGGATGAAGACAGAACCAAGGAAGCGACGTTCTTCTGGTTAGACATTCTCTCGATCAACCAGCACGAGGATGTGAAAGCCACGCTTCCTGACGACTGGTGAGTCAGCGACAAGGGGTGACTGCCCTGGTTGCTAAGTGTGTGGTGTGGCATACCAGCACAACAGCGAAATGGTGTCACAGCAGCACGCTGACGAAGGGTTTTGTTTGATTTCAGCCGCGCGCATTCTGGCATTCTGACACTTGCGATGGCAAGAAAACCCAAGTTCACATCACCACACACACACACACACACACACACTCTCTCTCTCTCTCTCTCTCTCTCTCTCTCTCTCTCTCTCTCTCTCTCTCTCTCTCTCTCTCTCTCTCTCTCCCTCTCTCACGAACACACACACGCGCGCGCATGCATCCACACACATGCATACACACACATGCATACATACAGCACACAAACAAACGAACATGCTTATTCACTCTCGCACGCTTGATCCCCCCCTTCATGCACATGACAAGGTGGAGCACGACCTTCAAGAGTGCCATTGCATCCATTGGCAATGTGCTGCTGGTGTTGACGCCATGGAACAACCCCATCGCACTGACACGCGCGTGGTGCCTGTGGGAGATCTTCTGCGCCATCAGCCAGGAAAGCCACGTTGAATTGGAGATCAGGCTGCCGCAGCACCAGCGCATGAAGCTGAGGGAAGCTGTGCTTGAAGACCACAGGGCAATCACGAACATGCTGGTGGCGGTGCAAGCAGAGAAGGCCAGCGCATTCAAGGAAGAGGACAAGGAGATGATCTTCAAGGCGATTAGGGACGGCGTTGGCTTCCTACGCTTGAACAAGGCTGTGAAAGGGCAGCTGCGAGAATGGTGCCTTGCCATGGCAAGGTCATTCGTGGAGGAGGCTGAGCAGGTTGGGGATAACAACACACACCAGTTTGCAACGTTGTGCAACCACGTCGGCCTGGTCATGGCGTACTTTGGAGAGCATGACGCAGCAGAGGACTTCTTCAACAGCTGCCTGGCCTATTGTCGTGACACCGTCGGAGACACTCATCCCAACACAGCACAAGTCAACAACACTTTGGCGCGCGCGTATGTCAACAAGGGCAAGTATGATCGCGCAATCGAACTCCTTCAGGAAGTTCTGAAGATTAAGGAGAGCACTTTTGGTCACGACCATCCATCCACAGCAAACACCTACCACGGCCTCGGTAAAGCGTGGTACCATCAAAGCAAGTACGACGAGGCGATCAAGAACTTTGAGACGGCCTTTGAAATCCAGCGCCGCACCCTTGGCGAGGAGCACACAGACACCGCCACAACATACCACAGCCTGGGCCTGGCACATCACGACAAGGGAGACTGTGATACCGCGGACAGCTACTATCAGAAAGCTCTGTCAATTCGGGTGAGGGAGCTCGGTGAGAACCACCCAGACACAGCAAGCACGTACAACAATCTGGGACAAATGTACAACAGCAGAGGCAACTACGTCCAAGCCGAAAAATACTTCAAGAAGAGCCTGAATATCAAAGCCGACAAGCTGAGTGACGACCACGCGGACACCGCAGCAACGGAACACAACCTGGGCCACCTGTACGACAACAAAGGGGAACACGATCGAGCGATCAAGCATTACAAGAAGGCGCTCGAGGTTCGCATCAAGAAGCTTGGGCCAGACCACCCCGACACTGCATGCACGTACCACAACCTGGGCCTCGTGTATTTCAAAATAGGGGATGACGAGAACGCACTCAAGCAGCTGCACAAAGCCGCAAAGATAGAAACCAAGCTGAAAGAGGATAATTTGTCGAAAGCAAAGACATACCACAGCTTGGGCGAGGTGTACAAGAGCAGAGGCCAGATCGACCGCGCAGCAATGTACTTTCAGAAGGCACAGGCGGTTAGGGTGAAAGCACTGGGCGAGGAGCACCCAGACACGGCTGCTGCGTACCACGAATTGGGCGACGTGTACAAGAGCAGAGGCCAGATCGACCGCGCAGCAATGTACTTTCAGAAGGCACAGGCGGTTAGGGTGAAAGCACTGGGCGAGGAGCACCCAGCCACGGCTGCTGCGTACCACGAATTGGGCGACGTGTATGACGAAAGTGGCAGGCATGACTTGGCAATTGTCGCCTTTCGCAATGCATGGCTACTGAGTAAGCGAATGCCTGGCGAGAGTTCACAAGCAATAGCAGCGTCACAGGGTCGCTTGGGAGCCGCGTACGCCAGCCACAAAGAGTATGATCAAGCGATCCAACACCTCACTCAGGCGCTCGAGGCTTTTTTGGACGCACCGGGCGATAGTGACGCTGATATCGCAGGCACATATGGGTGCCTGGGAGACGTTTATTTCAAGACAGGCGACTATGTCCGTGCAATCAAGAGCTGCAAGGAGGCTCTCAATATCTACGAGCTCAAGTTGGGTGCGCACCCACTCACGGACAAGACCTTACTCATTTTAGGCCAGGCATACATGAAGACTGGTGAATACGTCAGTGCGATCAAGTATTTCAACAAGCGCCTGCAGATACTACCGGACACGCACGGTGACAATCACCCAGACACGGCAAGTGTATTCCACAACCTCGGCAGTGCATATTTCAAAACTGGAGAGTACGACAGCGCCCGTCACTTCCTAAGCAAGGCACTTCCAATTTTGCGGTCCACTCTTGGGCCACACCACCGAGTTACCACAAGTGCACAATGGATGTTGCTTGAAATGCAACTCGGGCAACAGCAGTCTCACGCAACATCACCAAGCCAAGATGTCCCGACGATAAACAACCTCTTGCTTCGGTTTTTGTCGGCGCAGCTTGTGTATCAATCCTCTTCCGCACGACGCAACCTGGTTCTGCGCTTCCTTTGTGCAACCAAACAGCAGGCTGACGAGCTGCCCGCGTTGACTCCTTAGTACTTCCTGCCACTGTTGTTTTCGTGTTTGTGTTGTTTTCTTGCCAATTTCGTGAATCAGCCATGTAGGGCCACTTCCTTCTTCTTTGCTTTCCCACCTCCCCTCTTCTCACGATCATGTTCTCTTTTCGTGTACCGTTGCTTTCTGCCTCCCACCCATGCGTCGTGTTCATTCAAATCATGTGAGATTGCACAAGGGTGTTGTTTTACTGAACAGCCCGCAGACTATGTGGACGTTTCGTTCGTGGCCCCTTCATACACGAACTGCCAATAGCGAATGGCGCACGCAGCAACGCACCAGCACGCACACACAACCCCATACTTATTAACTCACACACCGAACCGCGAAAACGCATAGCCCTACTTGCACGCGTGCACACCCAACACATCACAGATGACGTCGCTCTTTTTATTCTCTTATTCTACACATGTGTAGCTGTCTTGTTCTTTGTTTGCAAGAACAACTTGGCCATTCCCAGACAAGATTCCCGCCATTCCCGCAGAGCTTAGCTAGGGCCCGAGCCCAAAGGCGGATCCAACACGGGTCATGACGTAATTCATCCAGGGAGTTGAAAGGACACGAACGCTGCCAGCCACGTGCTTGATGGAGGCTGCATCGATGGTGGTGAGCCCGTTGGCGCCCACCACAATGTCGCCACCAACATGCTCGATGCTGCCCACGTCCACGCTGGACAAATGGTCGCCGCCAAAGTCAAAGTAGAGCATGCTCAGGAAGTGCAACGCAAACCCGCCACGCGCCCACTTGTGCCCAACGATGAAGAGGTCTCGCCCAACAGTGCGGATGGTACCAAAACTGAGATGGGGCAGCTTGTGCACGGCGATGATGAGGCTGTGGTTGACGCTCGTCAACGCGCCAAAGTTCATGGTGACCAGGTTCTCCGCCACCACCGTGAGCGAACCACCCACGTGCGTGAGCTGACTCAGCTCCAGCGCAACCAACGTTTCAGAGGTCACCAGAACGTCCCTGCTCACGTGCTGAAGGTGGCCGGTGTTCACGACCTGCAACGGGTTGTGGGAGATGTTGAGGGTGCCACCGACATGTGCAATGTTGCCGAAGCTGATCCGCACCATCTTGTTGCTGGAGAGATCAAGGTGCCCGCTAACGTGTGCCAAGCCACCAAAGTGAACATGCGTTAAGCTGTTGTTCCCCAGGCGAATGTGACCGCCTACCCGTGACAACTGTGGGAACTGTACTCTGGTCAGGCCGTTGTGTGCCAGATACAACCCGCCCGCCACGTGGGACAACTGCGGCAGCTCCAGTTGCGAAATGGCAGCCGCCACCAGCTGCAGGTCTCCGTTGATCGTGGCAAGGTCCCAGCCAACAACTGTATTCAGTCGTGGGCTGCGCAGCCGTGCGTGGCCGCCGATGTGAGTGATGTGACCAAAGTCAACTCGAAAGACCTCGCCCGTGAGGATGACGTGGCCTGCTACGCTCCTGACGCCACGGAAGTTGACTTCCAGAAGAAGATCCGAGGAAGCAATGTCAATGTCGCCTTTGACGGTGGTGATGGCGCCAAAGTTCACCCACCTGAGGGCAGGGCTATCAATGCACAGGCAGCCCTTGTAAGATGTGAGGCGGTTCCCAAAGTGGACGGTGACGAGGTGCGGGTTGTTTGCAAAGTGCATGTGCCCCCCAACGAAGCTGACGTCGTCGAAGCGGAACTTGCGCACGCTGGTGTTGCTGATGTCGAGCCGCTCGTGGATGTATGCCAAGTTGCCAAAGTCAATGTACCTGAGACGCGGGTTGTTCTCCATGTTGATGGAGCCCCCGACTCGCTGAACCTTTTGGAGGTGGACCGATGTGACGGCGGTGTCAGCAAGCAGCAGGTCGTGCCCAATCAGCGATATGTTTCCCATGTCGATGTGGGTGAGGGCAGGGCAGTGGTGTAAGATGATGCGGCCCATGGCCTGCTGCACCGGCGAAGCTAATGCTGGTGATGTTGGTGCGCGACAGATCCACGTCATGGTGAAACTTGGCCAGCTTCCCGAAGTACGCTCGCGTTAATCGCGGGTTGTGGTCCAAGTGCAGTGACCCGCCAATGTACGTGACGTTGCTCAGGTCGATGGTGTCCAAAGCTGTTCGCCCCAGACGAAGCGACCCGCCCACCGTGGAAAGGGCGCCAAAGTCGATGGAGACGAGGGGGTTGCGTCTCAGATCCAGGGTTCCGCCAATCCTCTCGATGTTTTCGAGGCGAAATTGCGTGAGCGCATCCGTGCGGAGTTGGACGTGCTCGCCCACCACGCGCAGGTCGCCAAAGTCAACCTGTTCCAGCGCCCTTGCGTCCCAGCCAGTGATGGCGCCACCGACTGCAGTGATTGAGCCAAAGTTGACGGCTGTCACGCCAGCTACAATGGTGACGTCCCCGTGCACGCGTTTGAGCTGACTGAACGTTATACAGTTGCAGTCCAGCACGTCGCCTGCCTCCGTGAGCCCACGCTCGAGAAAGTACGCAACGTTGGTTGCGTTTCGGCAATCAAAGTTCTCCAGGTGACCGGGTGCCGCGAGCAAGTACCACAAGGAGACCACAAGGAGCAGCAGGCCAACGAAGGCACCAACACAAGCAAGTTGGACGCTTGCAGATGGTGTTGGCTTCATGTGTCCTTGTTGTTGCTGCGACTGCTTGTTGTGGTGTAGCTGCTTTGGCTTTTGCTGGGGCTGCTGAGGCTGCTTTGGTTGTTTCTTCGGCTGCTGCGTCGGTTGTGGCTGTGGCTTCTGTGGTTGCTGTGATTGTTTGTGTGGCTGCGGCTTCTGCGGCTGCTTTGGTTGTTTCTTCGGCTGCTGCGTCGGTTGTGGCTGTGGCTTCTGTGGTTGCTGTGATTGTTTGTGTGGTGGCTGCTTCAGTTGGTGTAGTGGCTGCGGCTTCTGCGGCTGCTTTGGTTGTTTCTTCGGCTGCTGCGTCGGTTGTGGCTGTGGCTTCTGTGGTTGCTGTGATTGTTTGTGTGGCTGCTCGTGTTGCTGCAGTTGCTTCGGATGTGGTTGTGGCGGCTGTTGTTGCTGTGGCGGCTGTTGTTGCTGTGATTTTTTGTGTGGTGGCTGCTTCGGATGTGGCTGTGGCGGCTGTTGCTGCTGTGATTGTTTGTGTGGTGGCTGCTTCGGATGTGGTTGTGGCTTCTGTGGTTGCTGTGATTGTTTGTGTGGTGGCGGCTGTGGTTGCTGCTGCGGCTGCTTCGGTTGTTTCTTCGGCTGCTGCTTCGGTTGTGGCTGTGGCGGCTGTTGCTGCTGTTGCTGTTTTTTGGGCTGCTTGTGCTGTTGTGTCTGCGGCTGCGGCTGCGGCTGCGGTTGCGGTTGCTTTGGTTGTAGTTGCTTCGGCTGCTGCTTCGGCTGCTGTGTCTGCGGCTGCGGCTGCGGCTGCGGTTGCTTTGGTTGTTGTTGCTTCAGCTGCTTGTGTTGATGTGGCTGTGGTTGCTCTGGCTGTTGTGGTTGCTGGGGGAGCTGCATTGGTTGCACTCCATACGCCTCGGCAGGCTGACGTTTGTCAAATCAAACGAGGCGTAGGCGCCAGATTGCGGCGATGAGATGATGACAACGAAGCAACAAGCGCACAACAATGACAACGACACCACGCGCTCACAAGGCTCACAGGTCACTCGCTCGTCTCACACAAGACAAGCAGTCACACGCACACACACACACACACACACACACACACACACACACACACACAGACGCACACGCACACGCACACGCACACTTGCATGCACACACAACCTCACCTGCTGCTGATTTTCATGGGGATTGAGAATGAAGTTTACGACCTTGGACAGGTGGGCACGCACGGCGTCAGCATCTCCCGTTGTCACTTTCCACCGCACCTCATTTGTTCCTCCAGCAAGCTCGCGAACATTGGCTGGAAGCCACTGATCATCGTGCACCTTCACGAGCACACGTGGCTTGTGCATGTTCTGCTTCAAGAACTCCAGCTCGCCCCGCGAGGTCCATCCAGTAGCTGGCTTCTCCTGTCCATTGGT